CCGTCGGCGCCGACGAGGCGCCGGAGCTCCGAGAGGTTCGGGCTCAGGTAGTCGCAGTTCGCGACGTGTTCTGGGTCGAGGGGCCGGTCCTCGCCGCCGGCGTCCTGCAACACGATCACGCCGCCCGCCCGCTTGGCCGCGGCGGCGGCCGCGGCGTTGACGGCCTCGGGGATCTCCCGCTGGAGCAGGAGGGCCGAGGCGCCCGCGACGAGGTCGTCCCAGGCCTCGCCGCCGTCCCAGCCGGCGAAGTTCGCGCCGCGGACGACGACGCTCAGCACCTCGCCGCCGTCCTCGAGGAGCACGACGCCGAGGCCCGTGCCCGCGGCGGCCGTCGCCGCGACGCGCGCCGCGCCGACGCCCGCGTCCGCGAGCGCGGACCGCACGGCGTCGGCCGCGGCGTCGTCGCCGACGCGGGCCGCGAACTCCACGGCGACGCCGGCGCCGCCGACGCGGGCCGCGGCGACGGCCTGGTTCAGGCCCTTGCCGCCGCAGCACGTCGCCGGCGCGCCGCCCGTCACGACGGTCTCGCCGGCGGTCGGCAATTTGGCGCCGACGGCGTAGGTCGTGTCGAAGTTGGCGGAGCCGACGACGGCGATCTTCCTGCGGCGCTCGAGGGCCGACGCCATGCATGCGCAGAGCAGGCCGACGACGACCGCGCGCCGCATTGAAGCACTGGCTCGAGGAGCCATCGCAAGCTCTCCGGGAGCTTCTTGCCGTCAAGTTAACTCTCTCGCCGAGGATCGACGTCCGCGCCCCGCGCCGCGCCCCGGGCGGCGGAAGACGCCGTCCTCTACGAAGGGCCTCGAGGGGCTCGCGGGCGCCGGGGGGCGCCGGGGCGCCGGGCGCGCGGCCCGGGGCCGCGCGGCTCGCGGCGCGGTCACTTCTTCTGCGTGGCCTTGAGCATCTTGATGGCCTGCTTGCCCATGAGGTCCGTGAGCTCGCAGCCGTCGAAGTAGTCGGCGTCGGAGACGTCGGCGAGCGTGAGCTCGCCGCCGCAGACGGCCTGGAACTTGGACACGCCGACGCAGGAGCAGTTGAACTCGCCGACGACGTACTCCGTGTCCATGGCGCACGCGTTGCCCGGCTTCGACCAGCCCTCGGGGTTCTTCGGGATGTAGTCGCAGGTCCAGAGCAGGGGGAGCGCCTCGCCCTTGAGGCCCAACACGTCCATGAGGCCGTTGTCGATGTCGTTGAGGAGCTTCTTGAGGAGGTCGTTGTAGAGCGGGTCCTCGGGCCTGCGTGGATTCCAAATCTTCAACCCGACTTCAATGCGCGCGTAATCGAACGGATTGGACCAGACTCTTTCGCTGTGCTTCGAGAACTCGACGAGAGCAATCGAT